TCGCCCCTCATCACCCATGCCTAAATCTTGCTGCTGCAACATCTCTCATTTCCGGTGCTTGCGCCACCTTGCAGCCTCCAGAGCTCCCCCTCTCCTTTCCCAGAGAGGGCATGACCTTCGCAGCAACAAGCTGGATGGTTCAGACACAGGCCAGATACACAATGGGGTACTCTGGAGGCTTCCTCGGCCGCCACTCAGCTGTTTAAAAGGAAGGACTCCTGCCCTTTGGGCCGACATGAATGAAAGAGATTCTGCCAAGCAAAATAAACCAGAAGGAAGGCAAATACTCAATGATTTCACTCGTAGGTGGAATACAGAAAAACAAAAGCAAAGGAACAGACAAAATTAAACCAAAACCAACCTGGGAGAAATCTGACTGCAGGATTTGAGGCGGGGGCGGGGTGGGGAGAAGGGGACCGAGGGGCCCAGAGACCGCGGTGGAGGTGGGTGGGTGCTTTGGTGGTAGGTGTGGTTGGTAAGACGTCTCTGAAGAGGTGTGAGCCTGTACCCCTAAATCATACAGTGCTGTAACCCAACATTGCCACAATACACACGATTTCAAAAGGGGGAAGGGTATAAACTGTCCCGGAATGCGGGTCTGTCCCCCCGCAGGACTGGCCTGGCCTTGGTCCCCCCCTGTCCCCTCCCGCGTTCTTCCCTTCATTCCAGCAGGGCTTCTTGCCACTGTGGCCTGCAGGCGCTCAGCAGACTCCTGCCCTCATGCTCTGCCCTCCGCAGCAGCGCTGGGGCCTGCAGGCGTTCTCTGTCCTCCTGCGGCCCCTTCGGCTGCCCCCGTTTTCCCTGATGTCCGTAGAGGCCCGAGGCTGTGACCAGGGTCACTTCTCCGCCCTTACCCACTGCCTGGGTCACCTCCCCTCTGCCTGTCCCGGGCTTCAAATGTCTCCAGCATGCTGACATTCCCGAAAGCTCTGGGCTCACATGTCCACGGGTTACCTGATACCCAGATTTGGGTTTCTCGCAGGCATTTCTCCTGGCCGTGCTGCAGGACTTGAGTCCGTCCTCCCAAGCCCTGCACCTTCTCTCCGACTCCTCTCTAGGCGAAACAGCCCAAAGAGGTGTTCCGCCTCTCCTAGGTTTCCAGTTCCCTCCTGGGATGGACGAGCCCCTTGCTGCTCTGGGAGCCGGCCCAGCCCTCGGTGCCTGGCTTCTACTTCCCGCCCTGCTTGCTGGCTGTTCTCTGCTCGCGACACTGCCAGCTCAGCCCGGCAGGGACAATGTCGCTATCTGCTTACTTCCACGCCTGCCCCTGAGTCTATTCTAAGCGCACAATGTGGTTCCCTTACCTTTTTTTTTTTAATAAAAACATGATGTCCTGCCTAAACTCGTAACCCTCACTGGGGCTTCCCACCCATCCGGAATATTCTTTGATTTCTTCCTGACACTATGGACACCCCTTAATCTGCTGCAGGCCCCCTCACCAACAGGCGAGCCCCTGGTGGCCGGAGGGCCGGGCTCCATCCAGTGTGACTCACCTCGTGCCCCCCACCCCGCCTAACCCGGACGCACTCCTGAGCTGCTGCCCTTGTCTCCTGCAGCTTCCAGGAGAATGGGACCTGACCTCTGCTCCCCCACATTCCTGGCATCTAATCTGGGTCTTGACAGACCACAGGCAAGTGCACCAGCCCTCAGACTGCCCTTGCTTCTCGGCTCCACCTCTCTGCCGGGCTTCACACCCTACCCTGTGCTTCACCGCTTGGGCGCCTCATACCGTGGTTGGGGTTTCTTTCAATCTTTTGAGTTGCCTTCTGCTGTTACTGTTGTCTGCTTCTCCTCCCCTGCTCTCCTCTGGGTCCTCCCTCTGTGCCTGTCTGTGGCTCTCTGTGACTGACCAAGTTTGGGGGTCCTCTGCCCTCTCTCTCCCCTCCCCCCTTTCCTTCCTCTCAGCCTTCTCTCCTCCCATCTCCCCTCCCCCCTCTCTCTCTCTCCTTTCAGATCAGCCCCACCCTGTTTGGCAGTGGGACCCCAGAAGCCACCAAAGGACCCCTCACCAAGTTCATCTCCTTGAAGCCCGCCCTCCCTGCCCCTCCATTACCCCTCACCAAGTTCGGTCTCATTTGCTTTCCTTCCCCTCCTTGCCGCAGCACCCCATCTTCCGGGGGGCTCCAGGGGGTCCCTCCCCATACTAGGTCTCCAGTCTCTCCACTTCCAGGGGATCCACGAGGCCCCCACATGAATATTCCTGCACCCAGTTCTATCCAGTCTCCCCAGTGGCCCGTTAACAGGACAGAAGGGGAAGCCCCTGACGGCAGAGGCTCCCCAGGGCTCCTGAGCACAGGCGAACTCAGGAAATATTTGTGGAGCAAATGAAGGGAGACCCACTGGCCAGCCTGCCTCCTCAGTGATGCTCAACCCCCCACCTTGCCTGCCCCATTCTTCCACCACAAAATCTCAGAAATCATTGCAGGCCGCGGTGGCTCCTTCTAACACCCAACTGCCCCACCACTACCCAGCTCTGCCGTTCTCCCAGCTCCCCTTCCAGGAAAGCCCAGGCCCTCAGCCTGCACCTCCAGTCTCCAGCTTGCTCGTCTGGCCTCCCTTGCCCCCCTCCACCAGGTCCCAAACTGGAGACAGCACTGTCCTCGGCACAACTGGGGCTCTACTCCCCCCCCTCCTGTCAGGAAAACCTTCATCACCCACCACCTGGCAGGCTGTTCCTCACTTTTGAAGCCCAGCCTGGCTCTCATGGGGTCCAGGCTTCTTCTGAGCACTGCCCACTCCTGGCGGGCACCCCTCTTCCTGGGCTACCATGGGGCGGCAGCTTTTGAAGGCTTGGGCAGGGCCTATTTCTGCTTCACCTCTGGGATGCTGTTGTAAGCTGACTGTAAAAGGATTTGGGGAAATGACCCCTTCCTGCCCTGACCACAGGGGACATCAGCTCAGGCTTGAGGTCTGCAGCCTGGGCTTTTCACTCCTGCCAAAGGCTTCCCCATGGGTTCCCAGCCAACAGGGTGGCCCCTGGACCTCTGCGGAGCAGCGCGTTCTTCCCAGAGGGAGAGGTGACATCTAGCCCCGCCTTCCCCTGCATCAGTCCATCTCTGGGCAAGGCCTCCGGGCCCTGCGAAGTAGCTGTGCCCCCTCCTCCCTGACCCTCACTGACCCCTACCAAGGCCCGTTTGCTGGACTGCTCCCGGCTGGACTCCACTTCCAAGTCCTCGCCAACTGTCACTGAGGCTTTTCTCCCCATTGACAGCAGCAGGCTGCCTGGCGGGCTTCCTGGATGCCCAGAAACATGGCGGGAGGCTGAATGAGTGAGTGAAGGGGCCAAGCAGGGGTCCTGGTCCCACCGCGTCTGTGTGGAGCCCAGCCCTGGGCCTCTGTGCTTGTGTAATGAATTTTCTCTGCTTCCCCCACGAGGCTGTGGGTTCCAAAGGCCAGTGCCCGCTCCATGTTCTCCATTTCTGGGTCCTGCCTTCCCTGTGGCAGGGACTCACATAAGGGGTCGCTTAAAACCATTCGCACCCTCCGAGTAAAATCTGGCTCCCTCCCTAACCCGCAGCCGGAGGCAAGCTGCCCTCTTGCGGTGCCCCGTCCTGTGTCACCCCAGCCCCTCAGGAAGCAGTAGCCCCTCAGGAAGCCCGGCCCGCCCCAGGGCCTCTGCTGTGCAGTCCTCCAGCACACTCCCCGCAGGCCCCGGGGGTTGGCGCTGGTCTTCTCAGTGCCAGCCCAAAGAGCCCTGCGGGAATCTCCTGCATTTAAAGTGTAACTTATTGCTTCTGTTCACAACTCGCTGGCCATGTCTGCCTCCTGCACACGACGGAAACTCCTCGGGGACAGAAGAGGGGGCTCTCTGCCTGCCTCCTCCCACAGGTGTCTCCTTCAGCACAGGCCTCGCCCCCAAGTGCACGAGTCGGCGTGGGCCAGCGAGCTCCTTCCTGCGGTGCTCTTGGCCGCTCAGTCGCCCTGTGCTACGCGGGCGCTTAATAAACCCCCGCGCGTCAGCGGCGGGAAGAGCGCGCAGACCACGCCGTCCCTTGCCCGTTACCTTTCCGCATCCCTCCTCCTCCTCACCTCGCCGTCTCTTTGAGGAGCGCATACATATATAGTTTGTAGATCTAACTATATATTCGTAGGTGATGGCCCCTCTCCAGGAGTTGGGCTGGGCTGAGTCCCTCCCCCCGCCCCCCGGCCCGCCCCACATGCACACAGCAAAACATTAAAAAGAAAACATCTCAAAACTGCAAAAAACACCACCGCCCTCCCCCTCCCGCCGACCCCACAAAAAAATAAAACACGACGCTCCCAGCCCCGCGG